ATCAAAGGGAGAATGGAAGGAAAGGATTTGGGGAAATTTTAAACCCCCACCCTTTCAAGTTTTCACCCCCAAAAAAAATGAATTTCCTGAAAAAAATTTAAATTGAGGGTTTTGGGTAAATTAAGGCAGGAATTGGGGAACCTCTTACGGGCCCCAGGTAGGGGAAATGAAACAACCCCGGGGGATGTAAAACGGGGCCCAAAAAGGGGGTTTAAAAGGTTAAAGAAAGGGAAACTTTTGCATTCCCTTTCCCAAAAATTTTTCCAAAAATATTTTTTAAATGCAATTTTGATAAAAGCGGAAAATTGGAAATTTTAATCCCTTATTTAAACGGGACCGGTTTTTGGCCAAAATATATTTTTTCCAATAAGCCTTACCCCCTAGTGGGAAAAAATTTAAAGGAAAAAATAATTGCAAAAATTTAAAAAATTGATTTTGAAGGGTAGTTTTGGGGAAAAAATCAACCCCTTGTTTTCAAAAAGGGGGTTATTGGGGCCTAGGGGAAATTTTTTTAACTGTTTTAAAAAAAAGTTTGAAGGAAATAAGTTCCCAAAGGGTTATGAAGAAGGGGATAGGGCCCCCTTAATTTAAAGGTTTTTTTAAAAAAGTTAAAGGGCTAAGGGGGAATTAAGGCACACGGAATAGGGGGAGAAATTTTTTCCTGGGTAGAGGCATGGCTGACAAATAGGCAGCAGAAAGTTTGCACAAATGGGGAGAAATCAGAATGGGGGCACGTCACAAGAGGTGTTCCTCAGGGGTCAGTGTTGGGCCCGTTGTTCACAATTTACGTAAACGACATAGATGAGGGAATAAATAGCGACATAAGCAAATTTGCTGATGACACCAAAATAGGCCGTCCAATTCATTCTAATGAGGACACTAGAGCACTCCAGGATGATTTGAATAGACTGATGCAATGGTCGGAGAAGTGGCAGATGCAGTTTAAAACTGACAAATGCAAAGTTCTAAATGTTGGACAGGTAAATAACCATGCCACATATAAACTAAATAATGTAGATCTTAATACTACTGATTGCGAAAAGGATTTAGGAGTTCTGGTTAGCAGTAATCTAAAACCAAGACAACAGTGCATTAGTGTTCGCAATAAAGCTAACAGAATTCTTGGCTTCATACCTAGAAGTATAAATAATAGAAGTCCTCAGGTTGTTCTTCAACTCTATATATCCTTGGTTAGGCCTCATTTAGACTATGCTCCTCAGTTCTGGTCACAGTATTACAAAATGGATATAAATGCACTGGAAAACGTACAAAGGAGGATGACAAAGTTGATCCCATGTATCCCTTGGTAATAAATACCGACAAGTTGGTTTAGAAAGACACATAAGTAAACACTATGAAATATGTCATAGTGTTTGCTTACGTGTCTTTCTAAACCATCAGAAATCTTCCCTATGAGGATAGACTGAGGGCCCTGAATCTACACTCTCAAGAAAGGCGTAGAATTAGGGGGGATATGACTGATGTGTATAAGTGGAAAACAGGAATTAATAAAGAGGTATGTAAATAGAGTGCTGAAAATTTCCAGCCAAGACAGGACTCGCAGCAATGGTTTCAAGTTGGAAAAATTCAGATTCAGGAAGGATATAGGAAAGCACTGGTTTCGTAATAGTTGTGGATGAGTGGAACAAACTCCCGAGTACAGTTATTCAGGCTAAAACGTTGTGTAGTTTTAAAAATAGGTTAGATAAATACATGAGTGGGTGTGGGTAGGTGTGAGTTGGACCTGACTAGCTTGTGCTGCTGGGTCTGGTGCCGTGCTCCTTCCTTGAGTAGAGGTGCCCAGACTGGGTGGGTCATTGGGCTAATCCGGGGGGGGGGACATGGACCTGCTCCGCATGGGTCAGTAGACCTGTTGTAGCGTTCCTTCTTTCTTATGTTCTTATAACAAATTAATTTATATTATCAGGGCTTTGCTGATGGGAAACAGCTGTTGGATAGCGACAGGCTTTTTCTTTTCAAGTGTACTATCAACTCTCCACTTGTATCTTCTCACGTATTACTGCTTAACAATAATAAAATTACAGACTGTTGTTTAAGACGTTTTCATCGTTCCCTTGTTTGATTGTCGGAACAATAAACCAACCAACCAGCCTTACTAATTCTCGTGGTGCTCCCACCTCTCAATTCGCTTCATACAGTGATCCTACTGTCCTGGCCACTCACCTGACTAGGATTATATAAATTTGCTCGTTGTACATTACTGTTCACTTACTGAATAAATCTATTTACATGACTCGTGTTGCAGATAAGAGTTCACACACAACAACCCTTAATGACCCTTGTGAAAGATTTTATGCACAATAACCCTACCAACACTAGCTTTTTTAATGAAACAGCATCTAATGAAACTATATAATATATACACTTATTTAGAAAATTTAAAGTTGGAAATTATTAAGTGCTAAGACACGCCAAATTAGAAAACTATACCCCTGAGTGTCCTTGTTGGGAACCTGCAAGTATCCTTGCTGGGGACCTGTGAGTGCCCTTGCTGGGAACCTGTGGGTGTCCATGCTGGGGACATGTGAATATCCTTGTTGGGGACCTGTGTCCTTGATAGGAGCCTGTGAGTGTCCTTGATAGGAGCCTTTCTGTCCTTGATAGGAACCCGTGTGTCCTTGATGGAAACCTGCGAGTGTCCTTGCTGGGAACCTATCTTTGCTAAGGACCTGTAAATATCTTTGTTGGGGACCTGTGAGTGTCCTTGCTAGGGACCAATGAGTGTCCCTACCGCAGACCTGTGAGTATCCTTGCAACCTATGAGTGTCCTTGTTGGGGACCTATGAATCTCCTTACTAGGGACCCATGAGTGTCCTTATTGAATGTGTGCAGTTTTCCATTTGTCTGTCGCCTTATCTTGCAATGAAATCCTCAAAATTTCCAGAGTAGATAGCTGAATTCATCTGCAGTCTTTTAAGATACATGGTGCTCTTTAGTTGATTCTCACTGCCATTTTCTTGACAATATGCTGTAACAACTTCGTTTCCTCATCCGATGTCAACATCCTCCATTTCCTGTGGTTATTTGGGGTTGAAAGCCCCTACATCACCTATGTTCTTTTCCGTAAGCACTCTGGAGCGTCATATTTAAGATCCCACACATTTCGCAATTCTAGTCAGTGATTTTATCGCCTTAATTACCGGTATCTTGTATTTCACATTGAATTTGCTTTATATATATATATACAGTGGAGCCTCAAATATCGAACTTAATCCGTTCCAGGAGCTAGTTCTAAATTCGAAAAGTCTGAAAATCGAAGCAATATTTCCCATAAGAAATAATGGAAATACAATAATCCATTCCAGAAACCCAAAAATATTCACAAAAAATACATTTTATAGAGATTAATTACAGTTTTACATACACAAAACAAATACTATAGTGTTCAATTATGTATATAAATATAAAATAACATTTTTACTTACCTTTATTGAAGACTGGTGATGGCATCTGGAAGATAGGGAGGAGGAGAGACGGAGTTGGGGTTAGTGTTTAGAAGGAGAATCCCCCTCCATGAGGACTTCAGGTAAAGCCCTCTCTGGGGTTACTTCCCTTCTCTGTCTTTTAATGCCACTAGGACCAGCTTGAGAGTCACTGGACCCCTGTCTCACAAAATAACTGTCCACAGTCCTCTGTTTCTGGCGCCTCTTTAACATTTCCCTAAAATGGGACATGGTTCTGTCACTGAACTGATTCCAGGAGTTTTCTGTACCAGATCGGCATGCAACTTCCTTGCCTTTTCGCAAATAATCGTCTCTGAAACACTATCACCTGCCATCTCTTTATCCTTGGTCCGCACCAGCAACAACTTCTCAACCTCTTCAACTATTTGTGGTCTTTTTTTGGTTAGCATATTAACACCTTTCACAACAACAGCTTCCTTGATTTGTTCTTTCTTTGCCAGGATAGAACCGATGGTCGACTTGTTTTTCCCATACATCCTGGCAAGCTCAGCAAGTCTCACACCACTCTCATACTTCTGTATTATTTCCTTCTTCACATCTATGGTGTTTCTCACTTTCTTTACCACAGGGGTACCACTAGCAAGTTTCTTTGGGCCCATGGCAGCTTATTTCACAGTCCCACAAGCACTAAACACAATGAAATACGTAATCGTAAAATGTTTGAATGAGAGCGCAGGTTAGTATTCACTCAAGCATCAACAAAGCCAGACTGGCTCATGGCGCCTGCTCGGGGACGCGACAGAGCGGGCTGGCGGACAGGTCCGGGACCAGCGGTCCAAAAATAGGGGCGCGTTCGATAATGGGGACAAAGTTGTTCGAAAAAAGGGTTCTATTTTTGAAACGTTCGGTAAGTGATACAGTGATACATTCGAAATTTGAGGTTCCACTGTATATATATATATATATATATATATATATATATATATATATATATATATATAAGTGTAAGATGTGGTTCCATCTAGCATTAGTCTATTCCTTTGTGGCTTTTACGAATGTAAATTTCTGGGTTGGCACTTATTTTTTCATGGCTCTCCAGTCCCTGCTACTTCCACTTTAGTACTGTATATCAATAAGGAAGCACTAAACCCATAGAGGGTTATACAGTGCCTGAGGATTAGACAGTAATCAAGTTTGATCTAAGGAAGGTGAGGATATCTCCAAGTCCTTTGATCAAGAGCTGTTCATTTGTATCAAGAGACTGCCTTTCAAAGTACCTTCCATTAAACCATTCTTTATTGTTTCGTCTTATTTTCGTTTTCGAAACAAGTGATTTCATTTTCAGATACATTGTACAACTAATAAATATTTATGATGTTAATCTTCTCTTAATTTATTATAATTAATATTATGTTATATTCATGGGGAAAGCACTAACCCACAGGGTCATTCAGCGACTGGTGGAATGGGAGATATTCAGATCTGATTAAGGGGAGAATAGTTCCACTTCAATGGGCAAAAGTCTTCAACCTGTATCAAGGTAACTCCACTGGAAAGGGTAAAAACATTAAAAACAGGGAGGTTGCAGGAGAAATGCTTTTAGAATACGGGAAGGTAGACGAGGGTAGTGGCTCACCTGGACAGTAATTGCCACCTTGGTCTGGCCAGCAGACGAGAAGAGTACAGGTAGGCGGTGCTCGTACGATACTCCCGGGTTACATTTGAGACGACCCTCCGGAGCGTGGATCAGCAGGGAAGAGTTGGACGGAGAGTAATAATGCTCAATGGTGTTGGTGAAGGTGGTACTTTCCATGACGGCGCGGAGGCTGCCCGCCTTCATCTGTTGGCAGCAACACAAATACATCAGATTGCTTACACAAATGAACATGTATATAAAAAAAAAACCCTACTGTTGTAAGTGGGGACGTAAGCATACTTCCTTACACATGTTGCCCATAGTAACTAAATACACACACACACACGGGCCAGGAGCTCGGACTCGACCCCTGCAACATCAACTAGGTGAGTGCACACACACACACACACACACATATTATATATATATATATATTATATATATATATATATATATATAATAATATATATATATATATAAAATATATATATATATATTAATTATATGCTTGTTCCCACAGGCTTGGAGACCTTTGGCTCATGGGGAAAGAGTGCATCTAAGTTCCTTAAGGAGCTAGGCAAAAGACTCATCAGGGTAACTAGGGATCCCAGGCAGCTATTTTTGATACGTAAAGCTCTCGAAAACATTGATGAGAAAACAGACAGCTTAACTTTATCTTGATGGGAAGAATAATAGTGTACATAGGAACAGTTATTTGTAGGTTTTCTGTAAATTTTAAATTTGAATTCATTATCACTCTTAATAATTAAAACATCTAGAAAAGGCAATGAGTTATTTTCCTCAAACTCAACAGTAAAGTTTATAGAATGGGCTAAGCTATTTAATTTGCCAAGGAAATGGTGTATATCTCTATTCTTGGGCATAAGACATAAAATATCATCGATATATCTGAACCATTTTGCTCTATTAGGGAGGATTGTGTTAAGCAATCTTGTCTCAAAAAATTCCATGTATAGATTACTAAGAATAGGCGAAAGAGGATTTCCCATTGCCATACCAAACTTCTGAGTGTAAAACTTATCATTAAATACAAATTTTGCATCAACAATGCAAAGTTTAATAAGTTCAATGATAGTAGGAACTGGCAGTGGTAAATCATAATTAACGAGTTCTTCAGATAAGAAACTTAATAAATCATCAACAGGAACTTTCGTAAACAAAGAAGTAACATCAAAACTAACCATGTTAAAATCATTTAAGTCAGTCAAGGAGCTTAATTTATCAACTAAATCTAAGTTGTTTTTAACATTGAAGTTAGAAATTTTACCAATGTTAAAAACAACTTAGATTTAGTTGATAAATTAAGCTCCTTGACTGACTTAAATGATTTTAACATGGTTAGTTTTGATGTTACTTCTTTGTTTACGAAAGTTCCTGTTGATGATTTATTAAGTTTCTTATCTGAAGAACTCGTTAACTATGATTTACCATTGCCAGTTCCTACTATCATTGAACTTATTAAACTTTGCATTGTTGATGCAAAATTTGTATTTAATGATAAGTTTTACACTCAGAAGTTTGGTATGGCAATGGGAAATCCTCTTTTCGCCTATTCTTAGTAATCTATACATGGAATTTTTTGAGACAAGATTGCTTAACACAATCCTCCCTAATAGAGCAAAATGGTTCAGATATGTCGATGATATTTTATGTCTTATGCCCAAGAATGTAGATATACACCAGGTGTTTCTTTGTTGTGGGAGTTGACTGTGAGGTGTGGTCTAAGCCTTTTAATTGCCTTCCTTTGATGTATTACTTTCATAGTTCCTTGACAATGTGAGTAGTCACGAAAGCGCTTGGAATTTCACTACTCTTTCACAGTGGTTGTTTTGCATATATATATATATATATATATATATATATATATATATATATATATATATATATATATATATATATATATATATATATATAATATATATATTTATTGTACCCACGAAACAAGTGGTATTGATCAATAACAACACTGCACTAGCCAAGGAGTCGAACCCATGCTGTTTTGGCCCGCCTCATGCTGAGAGCGGGCCAAAACGCATGGGTTCGACTCCTTGGCTACTGCAGTGTTGTTATTGATATTATATATATATATATATATATATATATATATATATATATATATATATATATATATATATATATATATATATATATATATATATATATATATTATTGTAACTAGGAATGAGTGGTATTGATCAATAACAACCCTGCGGCTAGCCAAGGAGTCGAACTCACGCTGCTTTCGTTCGCCTCATGGTGAGCTAGACAGATGACGAGACAGATGACGCTCTAGTTAACGGGACCACACAATTCTCAAGAATGGCGCATCCAGTCAAGCTAGATGTTGTACCCGTCATCCGAGAACAATGCCACTCGTTCGTGGATACAGTGATATAAAATCCTGCTCGTTAGGCTAGTACACTAAACAGGGATTTGAATGAAATTAGCTCGGAGGCGTCCACACCATCGTATGTTCTCGGATGACGGGTACAACATCTAGCGTGACTGGATGCGCCATTCTTGAGAATTGTGTGATTCCGTGGACTAGAACATCATCTGTCTTTCGCTCACCATGAGGCGGGTCAAAGCAGCATGGGTTCGACTCCTTGGCTAGTCGTAGTGTTGTTATTGTATATATATATATATATATATATATATATATATATATATATATATATATATATAATATATATATATATATATATATATATAATTCGTAGTTTGGAAGTTAGGAGGAGGTGCGGGATTACCAAAACTGTTGTCCAGAGGGCTGAGGAAGGGTTGTTGAGGTGGTTCAGGACATGTGGAGAGAATGGAGCGAAACAGAATAACTTCAAGAGTGTATCAGTCTGTAGTGGAAGGAAGGCGGGGTAGGGGTCGGCCTAGGAAAGGTTGGAGGGAGGGGGTAAAGGAGGTTTTGTGTGCGAGGGGCTTGGATTTCCAGCAGGCATGCGTGAGCGTGTTTGATAGGAGTGAATGGAGACAAATGGTTTTTAATACTTGACGTGCTGTTGGAGTGTGAACAAAGTAACATTTATGAAGGGGTTCAGGGAAACCGGCAGGCCGGACTTGAGTCCTGGAGATGGGAAGTACAGTGCCTGCACTCTGAAGGAGGGGTGTTAATGTTGCAGTTTAAAAACTGTAGTGTAAAGCACCCTTCTGGCAAGACAGTGATGGAGTGAATGATGGTGAAAGTTTTTCTTTTTCGGGCCACCCTGCCTTGGTGGGAATCGGCCAGTGTGATAATAATAATAATAAAATATATATATATCGCTTGTTCACGATTGCATATATAAAGATGAGCAGGAGCCCTAAGCATGATCCTTGAGTGACCACGTGTCACCTGTGCCCAATCTTCTTAGCGTGTAAATTCAACAGTAAAAACAAAGCTACCACTACACAGTGGCGCTTAGCTACCCACGTTGAAGATGATCTTGCATGTCTCAGGGTATCTCTGATGACTGTAGTTGTTACAACACTAAGAGATGGAAGACCTTTAATTTATAGAGCTGTATCAGTGATGAGCGTAGCCACAAATGATAATAATAATATAATAATATCCTTTTTTACTACAAGTACATGTACAAGGTATACAGTCCTAGTTGACATCAATGACATACTACTATACAGAAAGCCCTTTGTTACGCTGAGCCTTTAGGTCAGTTTTGTCCCAGGATGCGACCCACATCAGTCGACTAATACCCAGGTACTCATTTTAAACTGATGGGTGGTCAGGGACAGCAGGTGTCTTATGGAAACACGTTCCAAATGTTTTCCAGCCGTACTGAAGAAGATTCGAACCCCGGACCTCAGTGTGTGAGCTAAATCAAACATATGGAAATATAGGCATGCTAACACATAGTCTGGTTTCAAATCGGCAAAACTTTAAAAATCTCAAAATCTTAAAATCTTTAAATTAAATTATGCATACAGGAAAAAGAAATGGAAGGGCTGGCTTTAATTACTTGGATTAAAAAAGAAACGTTTAATTTTTCAATACATGTAATTTAGAAATTTACCTGGAGTTTACCTGGAGAGAGTTCCGGGGGTCAACGCCCCCGCGGCCCGGTCTGTGACCAGGCCTCCAATGAAAGGAAATTATTCCCAAGCGCTTTAGTGATCTCAGTCACATTCCTTGAGAGAGAAATCACGAGTGCGCTCTGTACTTAATTACCTCACTCTGGTATTTTTCCAGAAGGTCATTTACCAGAATCGGTCAGTATTTTCACAGTAGTTGTATACAATTCTCTCTCTTATTCTCCCACATTGCAACCATGTCCGCCTCATCATTCCAGATTCCTCTCATTCCATCGCCCTTCGTAACAAGCTTTAGTTATGTCCCATTTCTAGTAAGAAGTCATATTTGCTGGATCTCTGGACACGCCAATGTTCAGGACACAAGCAGATTCAGCCGCTGGTCCAAGTTAGGCCACATTATTTTTTCTTTATTAAACCACGTTTGGGATTCTTGCCATCTCACTGCTGTCGAGTTTGAGAGACTGCACTCTTATGTACTGGACACATATGCCTCACAGATACTACATGGAGAAACGACCAGCACTACTACGACGACTGTCAGGTTGCACTGTAAGTGCAACATATCTTAATTGATTCTCCTGTCTGTCAGTGGGCACTCAGAATCCACTTTTGACGTCTACATCACCCTAAAGCACACTCAATGACTTCGCCAAAAGACCCACCGTTGATGCAGAATCTCTCCGACTTTTTAACGGAAACAAACCTATTACACCAAACTTGATTTAAATTTTACTACTGCGCTAGCCTTCAACCTTACTAACCCCTAATGTTGCACGCACCCCTCCCTCTCACTCACTCCTAACCTCAGCACATTCCCACTTTCGCAGATATTAAGATCAAACTTGTTCCCTGTGATCTTACTGACTGTAATAATATATGAGTGTGAGGATGCAGTTGGGGCAAACTGGAGGATTTTGTCGTGACGTCCCACTGGTTCTAAGTTTCTGTAAGATCGATAAATCAAATATAAACACATTGACTTACTGTGAATCGTTTGGCAGTTGGCGAGAAAAGTATAGCTGTGATGATGCCATTTTGTGGCACCGTAAGGTTAGAGCAGCGTTCAGCGGCACACATCTCTATTGCGGCGCCAACTGCTGGAGTCTTGTCTGGAAGTTCAGCTTTCACCTGAAACAGGCAAGATGACACGAAAATTAAAAACAACCTTAATACACTTGGTTTTCTAATATTCATAATTTTTTGGCATTTATATAGTTTTTATGGGAAACAAATCCGTAAGGTTTTACAACGCCTGAAGAACGGGAAGTAATCAAACTCGTTCCAAGGCAGGGAAGTGTAACTACAATCCCATGGATCAAGAACTCTTCGCTAGCATCAATGCACCCCATTTAGCACACGTGTTACTTTTTCAGCAATTCTTTCTCAATCTTTCCCAATGTTTATCAATATTTTTTTTTATATATTTAATATCAGTGTTTGTGTCCACTTGAAATGTACCAGTGTTGTGGTACAGTGTGTTAACTGGCTCGAGGGTAGACGGGAGTCCAAGCTAATATTATTTGTACTATTCTTGAACTATATCAGCCAGGCTGTGACCTACGTTGACCTACGTGTTGCTAATACAATAACCTGACTGATCAGGACGTCAACCAAGAAGCCTAGTCCAGAACCAGGAAGGAAGGGGGTTAAGGGGACAATGACCTCCCGGAATCGACTGGCCCGATTTTGTCATTTCAATACGTCTTTTTTTTTTTTTTTTTTTTTTTTTTTTTACTGGATGTTTACGCTCTCAGAATCCTGTATGAGTTCTCTGGGTGATGTACCTAAATATTTCGAATTTTCGCTTCATTTTCAGATATACTGTAAATCATAAGAGCGATCATGGCTTCCTCCTACGTACCTGCCTGGGAATGACTTCCGGGTAGGTAGGTAGGAGGAAGCCATGAGTTACAGTATCTAAAATGAAGCGAAAATTCAGGATATTTAGGTACGCCACTCAGATAACTAATACAGAATTCTGAGAGCGTAAACATCGAAAGAAAAAAAGACGACGTATCGAAACGACAAATCAGACCACCAAATCTGGAGCACTAGTCATCTCGCAATCATCAGTACGGCCGAGGCCCGTTATACGCCCACCAGCTAGACACACCATCTTGCTTCGCCTCTGGCAGTGTTGGCACAACTGAGTCATCGTATGCTGAAGGCTAGATTTTTTCCCCCTTTGATGAATGAACTATCAACAGCAGCACACTCATTCATATAAAAAATATCTTACTGCAGTTTCTCGAAGGTTATGAAAAACTAATCTTGGGTGTGATCTACAGACCCCCAAATTAGAGTGACCTGGGTAAACTTGTTTGGGATGAAATTGTTAGGCATCCAGAAACAAAAATGTAGTTTTAATAGGAGATTTGAACTCTAGCCAAACTGACTGAATCACTTGGGCAGGAATTACCCCAGAGTCTAGGGTATCGGATGTGTACACAAAGTGCGCACACTGAAGCATATAACTGAGCAGTATTTAGATAAGGGTAAAGAAGTGTTTGTTGCACTGATGTATTTCGAAAGAGCATATGATAGGGTGGATAACGTGGTAGATGCTGCAAATGTATGAAAGAGGGAGGTTACTAAAAGCAGTTAAGAGTTCTTATACAGAGAGTGCGTGATGTTACCATGCTTGTCCAACATATTTATCTATAAGGTTGCAAAAGACCTGAAGGCTAGGGCGAAAGACGATCACAGTTGCAAAGGTTGGACGACGCCTTTGGGAGGGTATAACAAAAAGAAGGAAAATAAAATTAAGTACAGAAAAGAGCAAGATGATGGAGGCAACAAACAAGAATGGGTAATAATAGACTGAATATCGGAATGCAGGAAGAGAGTACGGAGGAAGGGGATGTATTTAGATAGTATATAAGAGTTGAGAGGTGAACAGATGGGTCTCTGAATGGCGAGGTGAACTGAATAATAGATGAAAGGAAAAAGGTGGGTAGCGTGTTGAGGCATCTGTGGATTGAAAGTTTATCTATGGAGGATGAAAAAAAAAGGAATATACAAGACAATAGTGGAGCCAACACTTATATAAGAGTGTAAGGAATGGGTTCAGAACACGGCAACGAGGAGGCTGGTGATTTTTTTGAGCACTGTTAAGTGTGAGTGTCATGCTGAAAATTCGGAGCGTCGATACTGCAAGGCGGTATGGGGTCAGCAATGGTATAGTTCAGAGGTAGGGTGAACCATTAAAGAAGAAACACTTTCACCATCACTCACTCCATCACTGTCTTGCCAGAGGCGTGCCGATACTACAGCTCAAAGCTGCAAATATCCACACCCCTTATACAGTGTAGGAACTGAACTTTCTACCTTCAGGACTCAAGTCCAGCTAACCGGAGTATGCGTGTGTGTGTACTCACCTATTTGTACTCACCTATTTGTGGTTGCAGGGGTCGAGTCATAGTTCCTGGCCCCGCCTCTTCACTGATTGCTACTAGGTCCTCTCTCTCCCTGCTCCATGAGCTTTATCATACCTCGCCTTAAAACTATGTATGGTTCCCGCCTCCACTACTTCACTTTCTAGACTATTCCACGACTTGACTACTCTATGACTGAAGAAATACTTCCTAACATCCCTTTGATTCATCTGAGTCTTCAACTTCCAATTGTGACCTCTTGTGTATGTGTCCATCTCTGGAACATCCTGTCTTTGTCCACCGTGTCTATTCTGCGCAGTATTTTATATGTCGTTATCAGTCTCCCCTGACCCTCCTGGCCTCCAGTGTCGTCAGGCCGATTTCCCTCAACCTTTCTTCGTACGACAATCCCCGTAGCTCTGGGACTAGTCTTGTTGAAAACCTTTTCACTTTCTCTAATTTTTTGACGTGCTTGACTAGGTGTGGTTTCCAAACTGGTGCTGCATACTCCAGTATGGGCCTGACGAAATGGTAACAGGTCTTAAAACGACCCTTATTGAGGTTCGGAACGCTATCCGTAGGTTTGCCAGGCGCCCGTATGCTGCAGCATTTAAACTGATTTATGGCCCTCGGGAGATAGCCGGGGTTATACTCACCCCCAATCTTTTTCCTTGATGAGGTTTCAGTCTTTGGCCATCAAAACATATTGTGTCTGCGGTTTTTTTTTTCCCCTTCCCCAATCTTCAGGGACTTTGCATTTGGCGGGTTAAACTCAAGGCCATTTTTCTGGACCAGGCTTGTAGCCTGTCCAGGTTCTTTGTAGTCCTCCCTGATCCTAAAATCCGATTTGATTCTTTCATTAATTCACATCATCTGCAAACAAGGGACATTTCTGAGTCTATCCCTTCCGTTATGTCTTTTTCACTATACCAAGAACAGCACAGGTCCTAGGACTGACCCCTGTGGAACCCCCTTTCACAAGCCCCCCACTCTACACCTCGTCACTACCAGACTCTTGTTGCCTCCCTGTCAGGTATTCTCTACCCTTTGCAGGGGGTTTTCCCCTGTTATTGTCCCTGATCTTCTAGTTTTTCAGTAACCCTTGTGGGGAACTGTGTCGAAGGCCTTTTTGCAGTCCAAAAAAAAGCAGTCGATCCCCCCCCTTTCTTTTTTTCTTACTTCTGTCACCTTGCATAAAACTTATAGTTTGTGACCAGGATTTTCCTTTCCCCTGAAACCAGGGGGTTGTCAATTAACACTTTTCTTTCCAGGGCCCCACCACCTCCTCCTGATATTCCCATGCCCTTTGCATACTAAAACACGTTAGTGATACAGGTCTGTATTTAGTGCCTCATTCTGTCTCCCTTTTAAAAATTGGGATACATTTGCCATTTTCCCAACCCAGGTATTGCCCAGTTTCCGGGGATGTTTTGAAGTTTTGTGGAAAGTGGTACGCACAACATATCTGCCCCCCTCTCTAAGGACCCACGGAGAGATGTTTCCTTTTCCCTTGCCTTTGAGGTATCGGCCCCTTTGCGTTTCTTCACCTCCTCCCATTGTATGTATGTCGTAAAACACTTGTTGTGTATTCCTTGTTGGTGCCCCCATCGGTCTGCCCCCCAAGTCCCCCTTCTCACTGTAAATACTTCCTTAAAATCTCGTGTTGACCCTCCTACCCTTGATCGTTTCTTGTGATTTCCCCCTTCTTTCCTCAGCCTTATCACCTGGTCCTTGATGTTGTTTTTCCTCCAATGTGGCTATACAGCGTTTGGGGGTAAATTTGACTTTCGTGCTATGTCGTTTTCATACTGCGCTGGGCCTCCCCCTTATCTGCCATACTCGTTTCTGGCTCTTCTACTAATTTTCCTTTGTTTTCCTGGGCCTATCCTCCTGACCTTTTTTTCCCATTCTCTGTTGCACTTTTTTTTCCCCCCTACACCTTCGAGAAAAACCAAGGACTCGTTTTGGTTTCCTATTATTCTGTTTCCTTGGGAACAAAATTTTCCCTCTCCCTCCTTGCCTTTGTTGCAATATCCACATCTCGTTTACTGATTTTCCTACCTTTTCTCTTTCCCACTAACCTCCTGCAGGAAGTTTCTCATACCTGTGTAGTCCCCCCTTTTATATTTTGGCCGTCCCCTTCGTTCCTGTTCCCTCTCCATTTTGTAACTCTACTATAAGTCAAAACTCAAACCCCACATATCGCTAGCTCCAAGGGCCTTCGTAAGTGATGCCCTCAAGTCTGAATGCTCAGGGTGAACACAAGATCCAGTCTTGCTGGCTCACCCCCCCTTTTCTTTGGGGTTGTGCCCCTGACATGTTGATGCTGAGGTTTTCAAGTACCACATCCATCATCTTGGTTTCTCCATTTTTTGGGACCCCCATGTGCTCCGGGTTTTTCCCCATCGTCTCCCCGTGGTTGAAATCGCCCATTCCGAAATTTGCTTGCTCGAGTGAGCTCTTCTTGCCCCCTCACCCAGTGTGTCCACCATCCCCCTGTTTTTTCTTCGTACTCCTTTTTGGGCCCCCTGCTTTTTTTCTTGGGGGGGTTTATCATCACTCCAATGCTACTTTAAGTTCTCCGGACTGAATTGTACCTACAATGAGTCTCTTTCTCCAATCATGTCCACTTCCATTTCCTCAAATCCCCATTGTGTTTATGAGCATAAACCCCCTCCTCCCCCTCACTCCTTCTATTTTTCCTCAGAATCATATCCTGTTGGGAAATTGTGTCTGTATTGTCCAGGGGTTTTT